CCCTGATTATCCTCGAAGACCGGAATGCACGGCATACCTGCATCTGGCAACATAAAACGCCAAACCTGCCTCAAGAAAAGCACTTCCTTCAAGACGTCGGCAATTGCCACATACTCTGCTTCCGTTGTGGAGAGCGTGACGCACTTCTGCGTCCTCGAAAACCAAGTCACACACCCACCCCCACACATCACTAGTCCTCCTGAGACCGACCTACGGTCTGCTGCCTTGCTTGCATAGTCGGCATCCACAAACACCTGCATGCTCATGCCAGTGACCACTCCCCTCTCAAATGTAATCCCCATCCAACTCATCCTTTCTATGGAACAAGCCCTTCGCGCCCTGTTGTCTGCGTTGGCTAACTTCCGATGGATGCGGCCGAATGTGATCGATGTGCTCGCAGCCATTTGACCCCGGCTGAGGATGAGGAGATCGTGTTTTCCAGCCGTTCCTGTGGCCTTAGGCCTTCCGGTCATCGGACCGCCGGGTGTTGGCCTGTGTGGGCTAGCTCCGACTTCCCCGACTTCGGTCTTGGGTGGGCTTGCCCCTTCTACGGTTGACTTCGTCGATTTCCATCGGCACTGTCCGCGGCTACCGCCGCCAGGCCTTTCGTCCTCACCTGGCACCTGTAACATCGCTCCCTGGCCGCCCAAGAAGCTCCGCGTTTTGTCTCCTTCGAGACTGCGTGATCGGCCTCCCATCGTTTGGTCTGGCTCACTGCATCAGTCTTTGGATTCTGTTTTGGCTCTAGAGCCCGAGTCTCCATCGACTGTCCCACAGGCTGCCACACCACATCGCAAGTGGTTTCCGCGCAGACTCGTGGCCGTACGGCGGTTGTGGCAGGCGCCGCTCCCGCCGGTTGATTATGGGTTCTCTGATGACCCGTCTCCCCTGCCTCCCCACACGGATTTCCGCTTCGCCGCGACCGTCTCGACGGTCTCCGACGGTCTCCCCGGCATCATCGACGACACCGGTATTATCCGGTTTGGTTTCGACTCATAGTACTGGTGATTTATCCCCTGATCCCTCCGCGCCTCTGGCTCATGGAGTGGATTCTGCGTCTCCGACGCATAATGCAACTTCGTTTGCTCCTGCTCTGCAGTCTTCTGCAGCTCCGGACTCTTCGGAGTCCCTGCCGAGCTTGGTTTCACCCGCGTCTTCGGTCTCCGCTACTGCTCTACCTTCGGAAGGCTTGCAGTTGATGCCTCAAGAATCGGTCCCCTCTTCTATAGAGGTGGCTGTCGAACGTTTCTCGCATACCGATTGGGCTCGCGAGCAACGTAACGAGCCTATGCGTGATGCAGCAATTCGTTTCATCCTTCTGGGTCGGCCTTCGGCTCTCCCTTCGGAATTCATGGATCATGTTCCGCCCGCTCGTCGACCTTCTCTGTCGGAGATTCGCGACCTGTCTAGCAAAGGCCAGTTGCATGTTGACGATGGTTTGGTCTTGCTTGTTCGCAAGCCGACAGCGCCCCCGTCGTCTACGCCCACACGTCCTGGTGGACGTGCTGCTTGGCTTCTCCACGATGAACCCATTCGGTTTTATGTTCCCATGCTCACGCCCCCGTGGATCATGCAAGTTTGCCTCGCTGATGCGTCTTGTCACCCCGGTGCAGCTCGCACGCTTAGCATGCTGGAACGATTCTATGGTGGGTTGACATGGGTGTTTGCACGAAGTGGTGGGTGCGGCTTGTTTGCGATGCCAAGCTCCCAAATCGTTTCGTCAGACTCCTCGATTACCTACTTTGAGCCCTCCATTACCTTCGGGCCCTGGTGTGGCGGTGAGCGTCGACTATTTCGGTCCCCTCCCTTTGACACCGCGTGGAAACACACATATTATGCTTTTCACAGACCGTTTCAGCCACCGTGCTGAGATGGACGCGGTTACGCCTGCAGAGTTCACCGCCGAAGGCACCGCTGACATCCTCGTCAACCGGTATATATCCCTTAGTGGGGTTACCCGTTGAATCTCTTGTCTGACAACGGCTCCCAGTTTTGTTCCAAACTGTCGCAGGTCGTGTACGCCCGTCTTGCTATTCGCAAAGTGGTTAGTCTTACCATCCCAATGCAATAGGGAGTGTGGAGCGTGCCAATCACACTATGGCTCAGGTGTTAGCTAGGCCGTCAACGAGAAGAAAGATGATTGGGATACTCAATTGGCGCACGGTGAGTTTGCCTACAACAATTCGGTTAGTGCCGCTACTGGTTTAGCGCCCAACGAGGTGCACATGAGCCGGTTGCTACGCTTGCCGATGACGTTCCTTGAACATTCATATGCTCGCGGCCACCAAAGCTGGAATCGTGATCAACTTGAGTACTGCGATCTTGATGCTGATCGCCAACGTCGTTCTTACGACTTGTTACGACTTGTAACGACTTGGTACGTGCACGGTCAACTTGTCCGTTTCGCGGATCGAGCGGCGAACCTTCGCTCTTTCGGATGCTTTGCATAGGCTTCCCTCTTCTATTACTGTAGGTGGATGGGTTTGGGTGCACAACTCGGAAACCACCATCCTCCAAGGTGTTCGTTCTGGCACGGATGACAAGGTCCTTTAAGCTACCCTTTCAAAATTTTGGCTGCGGGCCCGTGTTCTGACGCAACCGACGGCCACCCTTTGGCTTCCAAGTTGCTCTACTTGGATCTGTCGTCGGACTTGCCGGGCCAAGACTCGAAACGTCGCGTGTCGGTTGTGCGTTGCAAGCCTTGCGCTAATCCGCATGACACCGTCAACTTGCACGGTTTCTGCCTGCCGGTCTTGCCCCGTACGTGCTGAACTCTTATGCGAACAAATCTCCTCCCTACAATGTTACCGAAGACGACGTACCGACTTCGGTCGAACGTCTAAAGGTTGCAAGCATTAGCGGACACCAGGCCGTTTGTGGTCGTGGTGGCACTACGACTGTTTCATGCCAGACACATTGCAAAGGTCTCCTGCGCCCTTCCCGGGAGCGTGAGATGGATCTTCAGCAGTCCAAGCCACACATTTTCCGGCGCTGGACAGGCTTGCCTGACCAACATCGCCAAAAGAATGGCCGATATCGTGCGATGCGCATTGGTTCGGTCGCCCGAGAATTGGCACGTTCTAAAGGAGAAATAGCCTTGCCTTCGCGCTACCTGCTCGTCCCTCGTTCGACATGAGACCGTCGCTTCGTCAATACTCCTCTACCTGTTGGCGCCTTCTTCTGGTACAATGCGCACGATGGACTCTGGACAGCCTCTACCCTGGGCCCGTCAAGCTCGCCCTCCCCGATGTCCGCTACTCCACCATCGAAACCGCCGGCTCGGGATCCTGAAGCCTTCAAGTTCACGGCGGCGCCCACTTTAAGGGTATCCATAGCAACATCGACGTGCCGCGTGGTGGCGTTGTGACCAATTTGTTGCCTGACGACATCGCGCGCCCTCACTAAGGTGGCATGCTTGGTTGTTTGTGCATTCTGTTGCTTTATGCATTGGTTCGTTTCGTTGTCGTTTTCTCTTCGTCCTTGTGTGTGTAGCGTTTGTTCGCGGACTGTAGGTGTTCCGTATCCTCTTGTTGTCGCTCCCGCGCTACTGTCGCGATTGTTTGGCGCATCTTATCGTTTTGTCGATACAGGCCTTTTCTTTTTTTCGACAACGTTCCTTTTTCGTCGTTCCGACGGCACTTGCTTCCTTCTATTCTTCGTGTTCTTTTTTTTCCTTTTTCTCGTTTGGTTTCCGAACTGTTCCGGTCAGTGTAGCCGTCTCTTAGCCCCAGTCTGTGCCTTCCTGTGCCCTCTCTTGTTCTAGAAGTCATACAACGGTCTTGCGGCTCATCGAGTGAGAGGTGTGGGAGGGTGAATTGTGCCGTTTTGGAGCTCCACATCCTCGAAAGCAGTACTCGGTAAAAAAATCACGCTTGATTCAAGCGTTGTGATTGCCTCGTGCAACGAGCGCGATCATGCAAGCAGCAACGCCTCGAGCAGAGACAGAAGAAACAAAGATCACGAACAAGCGTCGGAATCACATGAATGAGCACCATGACTTCCGCGTAGAATGGAAGGGAATACACGTACAAAGCTGCTAACGGAAAAGGAAACTTGCCGGCGGCGACATTGTTCCTTGAGGGCATCGAAAAATAAGAAAAAGAAAAAATAGGACGCCGCAACTTTCCATCCCTGCGTATCACCACATGTAGACTCTAAAAACGGGCTCTCGTGTCGTGGTATAGCAATGCCCCGGCACTTCGAACAAGGAGAAACGGTGCACGTGCGCTACGGCGTACGACACTTCTTGCAACATGCAAGCACACCCTGAAACCGAACGCTGTCGTGTGTGGCTGGCGGGAAAGAAGGCTCCCGAAAACAGTGGCACCGGACGTCTCTACTGAGATCTCACCCCAAGCCGCGAGCGCATATTTCGATTTCCCTGTGTACATTCTTGGACCAAAGAGATAAAAGTTCATGACGATAAACACCCTTCATGACGATGAAGCCTCAGCAGTAACACCCACCGGTGGCAACAGTGGGAAAACTCATATTGGCTCAAGCGAAATGGAAATCGATCATGAAGCAGCAACGCCACGAACCAAGCAAAACAAGACGGAAACGAAAAAGGGCCGGGGTCACATGAGCACCATGACCTCCATGTAGAATGGGAGGGCAACACACGTACAATGCTGCTGCTTTGTTTGGCTCGCAAGGACGACACGACAACAGAAAGTTGTTTGGCCCCCAGCACAGACCCCTCCCTCTTGCCTCTTGCATAAATTTGTCGAGAAACTCCACGTGCCTATACAGTCGACGCCCAAATAATCAAACGTCTGGGTACATGTCGCAAAAACAAGTGGTGGCTGGGACGGCTTGCGCTAGAGTTTCCGGGCCTGGATGCCCCAGTCGTGGCCGCCTTGCGACACCATAACCACGCCCTCCGTAACACGGACCTCGTACGTAAAGTCTTTCTTACGAAACCCGAACCAGGAAGGCCCGGACTTCCCAAGGACGATGGATCCGTCCACCGAGACCTCCTGCGCAGGTGCACATACATTGCAGCGGTTGCGCGAAACAGCGAGGGGGGTGATGTAAGGGAAAACTCGGTCTGCCTGTGATTCTTCTCACCATTTTTTACTTCTACCGAAAAACAAAGAAGTAGTGAGGGGAGCGCATCGACGAAGGGAAGGGGTACACGCCCGATTACAGCGAGGCGGGGGCGGGCGCTCGGGAAAATGTTTGCCGGTTGCATCGACAGAAACCGCCCGTTTTCGTCAAATCGTAAGAAGACGACGAGGAACGATGCCCGCAAACATCATCTCACACGATTCGCACCCTGCTACCACGGCTACAAGTCTTGCCGCCCTCCAACGTACCAGGTCTCCCTTGTTCGTGACGGAGAGCGTCGCCTCCCCCAAGTGTGCAGCCGCGTGCTCCCTCGGTCGTCGCCGGCGAAAGCCGTGCTTTCCGAAGGGCAGAAAGCCCAAGACGGCGACCATCTTCGACTTCTTCAGACCCCGGCCCTCGACCGTCTCCTTCTCTGCCTCCGCTGTCTCTGCCATGATTTCAGCTTGTAGCCCCTCGACAATCGACATGCGTTGCGTGTTGGCCTCTAGCAGGGTCCGCCTCGTCTGCGACGCCGGGTCGACGGTCCGGTCCTCGAGGTCCCCCGGGGGCGTTCCGGTGGCCGTGGCGCGCACGACGAAGCAGTCGATGGAGGTGGCGTACACCATGGCCGTCTTCGCCAGGTTCGGGAGTCTCCCGTGCAGGAAGTCTCCGACATGCAAGACGAAGTCCGAGTGGAATTGGAAGGCGTCGGGTGTGTGTACAGGTCCTTTCTTGTCGTTGCTGCGGCAGTCGCTGTCGCTGTCGCTGTCGCTGTTGCCGTTGCCGTTGCCGCTGGTGCTGGTGCTGGTGCTGGTGCTGTTGCTGTTGCCGTCGTCGGTACCGTCACCCATGGTGTCCACCTCATCATGTTGATCCTCCTGCTGCTCCCGTACTTGGTTCTCTGCCGCGGCCCCCGAGATAGATTCGGGAATAGGCGAAGCATCCTTGCCTTCGCCATCGCCCTCGGTCTTGCCGCCCTTGTGGACCGTGCTGCGCAGATGATGGTGACGTTCGTGGGCCCTGTCCATCAGCTCGGTGATCATGATCGTAGCAGCAGCTTCTTTGCGGTCAGCCTTCGGGCGATCCGAAGTGCTCGGGTTGACAGCAGCAGAAGGTGAATGAGGAGTGGGTGTGGCCGTGGTATTGAGAATGGCGTCATCGACCGGGACGTTCTTGTCACCATCACCGTCGTTGGGGTCGGCGGGGGAGGACGGCGCAGGGTCGGACTTGTGGAAGGAAGCTTCTTTAGAGGAAGCAACGGGGTAGGCCACGTTCTGTTGGTGTTTAGATGCGCGCGGTACGTGGGGGGGAGAGACCGCGGTACCGCGAGAGGGGAGGCGGGGAGGCCAGTCAGTGCAGTGTACGGTATAGTCTAGAAAGTTCCCACCACAAGCGGCGTTGAAACGTAGGTAGGATTCAAAGTGAACACGAAAATTCAAGGCTGCGTGACCACCCGCTATTCCGCACCCAACATTCTCCATCACATTACATACGTTCTTGCAACAATAATAACGGTGCCAATGAGAGAGTCGAGCTTCCTCTAGACGCTCAAATGGTCTGAACCATTTCAATAAAGGAAAAATAAATATGAGAAAACGGTCCTCGTGCACTACGACATGCTGGCAACACCAAGGACCTCTCCGTCTCTCTATGAGCTCGCTCCTGAGAAATGGGTTACTCCCGAAACGCAACCGACATGTCTGTCTCACCGTGAGAAGAATTAAGAAAATTACGTGCATGTACTTTCTCAGCAAACACAACGACGGATGTGGCCGTGTATGTGACCTTGCTGTTGTCCGACAGGACTACGCCCTGGTTTCCGACCCACACGATACCGCGTCCGTCCAGCTGTGCATGTATGTGAGAACACCGAAGCGACAGCAGCAGCAACAGCAATAGCAGCAGCAGACGTCAGCGACATCATCATTGATGATGTTTGTCGTGTAAGATAACGTTTCTATGTGAGCTGAATGTGTGTCTCGACGAGAACAAGTCCAGTTCATTTCTCACTATATATCCACAACCTCACGGGGGCCATTTCCAGCCGGCCCAGCTGGCTAGCCTACTCAACATTCAAGCACATCATCTTGGGCGGAGGGAGGAACTTAAGGCGGAGTACCGAATACATAACGCCGAAAACTTGGTCGGGGCGTACGATTCGCTCGGTGTGCTCACCACAGTGCCATCGAGCGGCTGCTCAAGCTAGGTCGTGGCCTGAAAGTTGATGGAGCCCAACAAGAGGAGGACTGGGTCGTCTTGCATAGCCTGTCAATGGGGGTTCGTGTTTATTTGAGGAAACGGGGCGGGGGTGTATTTTGTTTCCGCTGAGAGGAGAGGGGGGAGACAACCGCACTGAGACTACTGACGAATGCTTCTATTTTCATTGGTCATCCGGTTCGTTACTGCTGTAGGTCGATGCAATAAGAAAGGAGAGAGATTTTCACACCCACTCCTAAAAACATCTTCATACGCCAACAAGTACCGGATATTAATAGCGAAGTTTTAAGAAATATGATCATACGGAATAATCCGTAGACTCAAACCCACTCCTGCTGTAGCATCAATCCGATGGCACGGGATTGTATCTGAATCTTCCCGTACCATTGCAACGAACGGTAGACTTCTTCACGCTCAAGTGCACTTGCCTCAGTCCTTGCCAAGGACACCGTGGGGGCTTGGATCGTCAGGCGGGCCCCTGGGTGTACGATCAGCGTGAGCCCCATCGTGGTGATGGACGTGGGCGAGCGGATTCCGTGTCCCCGCTCATGAACTCGATCGTCTGTGTACGTGCATCAATGACGACAACTTTTGACGGGAAACATTGAGGTGCTATGGCATTCTGGAGACAAAAGCAACTGATTACAGTTTTTGCATTGCAGCACCACAGTTTCGATTTTCCCATGCTCATCATGTCCATCTTGCCCGTGGCGAATCCCGGCTATTCGCGTGGTTGAAGCAATCCCGAGGGGATCTTGTTATTTCTTGCCCGAAAAAAAGAAATCCCTACAATTATTCATTACGCAACAACAACAAAGGAGTGTCCGGTTCAAGAATAAATATGGTGGAAGGGATAATGCTGAAGAGCGGTCAGGGTGGCGCCAAACCCTCGGCTGCATGCAAGGTGCTCACACACATACCTCCCGCCATTTTGGGACACGAATGAATCAATCATGGTTGTGCACACGGACGAACCCTCTGCGCGGATGATAGAAGAAGTTCAGCGGGATCAGAGAGAAAGCGAGCTCTCGGAATGCACAGCATCAATCAGTCAGTGTGGTCTCAATTTTTCGAAGCTACAGCACCAGCAGCTACCGGGATGAACTTCGAAAAATGAAACATGATCCTGCCTGTACTTGGGTAGCACTTGGGTAGCATGCGGGATCTTGACTGTGGGCTTGTTGCACCGGACCTAGTTGCTGTAGTAGCAGTTTAGACTCAATACTGTTGGACTGGAAACACACGGGTATCGCTACACAGGCTGCCGATGCCTACAACCAGATCGCCTGCAAACACACGCACGCTTGCTCATTGTCTGTCCCGAAATGCCCTCAAGTCTCCTACACTACAGGCAATAGCTGCTGAGAGTTGGTCTGGCCGAGATTCAAAAAAACTCACCTTCGACGTCTTGCCGCAGTCCATGTTCCCAAGGAACGTGAGAGCTCCGCCTGCGTGCACGGTAGCCTTGGGGGGGATGTCACCGCAGTTGCGGATGACGGTCGTGTCGTCTACGAAAGAGCGAGCTTGGACGAGCGGCATCGCGCAGGAGGCGAGGAAGGCAATCACGAGACAGATAGCAGCTTCGAGAGACACAATCTTGCGCATGTGCAGGACCGTTCGCTTGCCACGCGTTGTTCTGTTCTTGGGCAATATCAGTCTCACTCAAGAGCGCAGCAGGGTGCTGTGCCTTGGGTGGGTAGATGCTGTGTGATTCAGGGGGTGGGGGAGATACATACGTAGATTGATGTCGATCAACACAGCACAGCCCTCCGTAGCCGGCAGATTAAAGAAAGGGCTAGAATTCCGCGTCCGATCACGTCCGCTTTTGACGGGTGAAATCCACCCAACGGGTAATCCTGCAACTGACGTTCCAGGTTCGGAGGGACACGGCGGTGTGGTCTCCCATGCGACTGCTGCGGACTCCCAACAAATAGACTATATTAGTCCAACCGACGACCCAGATTGTTGTAGTACTGTAATTTTTCTCACACGTTGGCGATCCCACGGGTTTGCTGCCAGCTGCTGGTGGCGACGTGCCTCGGTCAGTACAATCCACTTGCATGCGTGCGCTGTATGGGCAACAAAAAAGGTACCGTACGTAGACAACGACCAATTAAAGATTTTCCCGTGATGTGCAGCATCTTTAAAAAAAAAAATGCGGAGGAATCACACCTGACTTTCTTTTCTCATCCAGTTATTGTATCCGCTACCGGATATGGAGTTCGAGGGACAGAACTTTCTTATCGGTCTCCTGTCCAGCAGGCGAAAGCCAGATCCTGGGTAAGTTTCCTGCTGGTCGAACGGCCGCACGGAATGAATGACACCCCGTTCGTAGCGTATTGCATCCATATCATGGTTGTGTTTTTTGCCAATCGATCGAAAAGGCCGCCCGACCTCACCGTACAACGAACGGTACATAATTTAAGTTCAACGCAAAGTCTTTTCAACTTTGTGTGAAGCTAGCCCCAGTCGTAGTTGGTATCTGGCATGGTGATAGAAGTGTTCTCGTTCCGTGACACTGCTGCACTACAAGCAGCATACACGGCTGCTGTAGACTGAGTCTCAATCGCTCATGCGTCAACGCTGGTTTACAACGACAATGCCCCAACGGCCAATCAAGCTGGTTCCATGCGAACAAAAATGTGTCGGTTCGGCACACCGTAGTACTGTAGTTTCGCCGCAATTGAACCCACTCCGGCCGTTATGTCGAGATGGCTGAGATCGCTTTCTTTCTCTCTTTCTCTCCCCTGTGTGTACCGCACGGCAGTGCACTGCGTGAGCAGGGCGAGGAGCGTGTGATTCTTGCGTTTCACCTATTACGCTGTGGTGAGATGTGCCAGCCAAGGAGGAGCGACACCTGCGTAAAAGTGCGAACTCGCTGCCCCAATTCTGTCCACGTAGCAGCAGTCCATAGCAGTCCAGCCTAACTCCATTACTTACCACCTCCTTCATATTGATTGTGGCGCCCAACATGGACCATGTACACCTTGTTTATAACAGTTGTTCCACTTTTTGAACTTCGTTTTGTACCTGAGACTCGTTTCTCATTGCCTCTTGAGGGTAACTCAATAGGAAGCATATGGACTACAGCAGCAGTAGATATATATACTACTACTGCTGTAATGCGTACATATAATACTTTGTAATAGGTTAAGGTTCGTTCACAGTTTTTTCTTTTTTCCACTTTTTTAATTTTGACCACCCCCCGCGGGTGGTAAAAACTAAAAAATGAAATATTTGTGCCTCCTTTGGTTGGCGAAAAAACTGTGAAAGACACAGACTGTCAGGAGCCGCCGACCCAACTGTAGTTCTTGTCCTCTCCAGAACCATGCGCAGGGCGCGAAGAGGCCTGCCGGGGGGCTTGGATATCGTGCTTGAAGGCGTTGTTCGAGGCAGCACGAGCAAGAGGCAGCTGGAGTCCTCCATCTTGGGTCACCATCGACGTTCCTTGAGGACCTTTATGAAAAAGGTGGCACCACGGAGAGCGAACAAAAGCTGGAACACGGACTGCCGCGAAGAAGGCGGAAGTTTCGCGATGTACGGGGTGTGATAGATGTACCCGAAAGCAACGGTGTGCGGTGGGGGCAATTGTGCACGGACAAGTTGTTTGATGCCAGCCCATGCGAAAAGAGCTGCCAAATTGTCCTCATCGTGGAACGTGACATCTTCTGCAGGCATCTCCAGCGAGCGGGACAGGAACGCTGTATCTCCAACGTGGAACTCGTACACCGTGGTTGCCGCCGCAAACGATGCTCCGTCTTCAGCACCGGCCGGAAGACCCAACGTTGCCGAAAACTCCGGAGTCGCTGTCCTCTCCCGCTCCTTCTCGTTTGTCGGAGAAGCCGCCACCTCCCGCTCCTTCTCGTGCGGCGAGGCGGTACGATGGGAACCAAGGGGCACCTGGGATTGCGTGGGGGGGGGAGGATAACACGGCGACGGGGGTGGGGGGCTGCTCGCGGGTCCTGGTGGCGGGGCTCCAGCTCCTTCAGCCGCGACCGGAGCGCCCCCTGCTTCGCCCTAGCCGCTTGGAGATTCGTCTCACGCTCCACCAGAACAGCCGCACGCTCCTCCTCCTGCTTCCTCGCCGCAGCAGCCAGAGCAGCCTCGCGTTCCGCTTCCTCGCCGCAGCAGCAAGAGCAGTCTCACGCTCCTCCTCCTGCTCCCTCGCCGCAGCAGCCAAAGCAGCCTCACGTTCCGCCAAGCGCTCTGCGTCCTCGCGCTTCGCCTGCTCTCGCGCCTCCGTCTCTGCTATCTTCCCGGAAGACCGTCGCACCACATCTCGTTCAACCTTTGCTACGCCATGAACTCGTGGTGGGGCAAGAGGATTAATTTGTCTTCCGGCGGGAGCGAGAAAGGAGGAACGAAAAGGGGGGAATCGGACGACAGATGGGCCGCTTTAGTTAACAACCAGCAATAAAGGAAGGCGACAGCCACGAAACATAGCGGCGGCGGTTACCCTGGTTGTCCAAGATGCTGTATCTCGTCGCCGGACAAAACGTATCTGGAGGGCAGGTGGCATGTTGGACAATGATTTGTAGGTAAAACACATCACCCCGACCCGAAAAGTGAGACGAAGCGCAGCACATCGGAACAAAGCGGAGAGGAATTAAACATCACCAATCAATCAAGACAACACTCGGCTCGCACGGTTCGGTTCTCTCTTTGCACCACTCTGCTATTGATCTAGACTATAGAAGCTGAAATCAACCCATTAGACCAGTCAGCGGCTGACTAGTCTAATGGGTTGATTTCAGCTTCTATAAAAGTACGTCGTGGGGCTCGGAGAACCCGACACTTTCCTTCCGAGGAGGGATGCTCCCCTCGCCAGCCGCTACTATCCATCCAATGTCTATTTCACTCCCGTTATTCTCGACTCATCACCCACATCCGTTCTAGAGTGGATGTCCAGGGTCTCCGACGACGAGCTTTTTTCCTTCTCTCACTCTCGCAAGAGGCGAACGTTTCCAGAAAAAAGTGCACCGACTGGGTGTCGAACCCACGACGTACTCTTATAGAAGCTGAAATCAACCCATTAGACTAGTCAGCGGCTGACTAGTCTAATGGGTTGATTTCAGCTTCTATAAGACTCTCCCTCATTTCTCTTCAGTTCCGTTACAAACAGCAATGCCCTACAGTAAGTTCTTATCTTTCCGATACAGGTGGCGCCCGCAATTGAAAACCTCTAGTTTCGGCCGAGGCTGGGGCTCTTAGTTCCTCTTGTGGGCTATATATGGTCGCTGTATAGGTTTGAGTGTAGGAGTTCTTAACAGGGCTCACAAATGGCGCTCAAGTTCTAAGCTTCTGATTTTACGAGTCTCAATTTCTTAACTGCGAAGTTCTGAAGTGCGGGCGCTATCTGTACCCTCCAGCGGTTTCTTCACATCTTCGCCCCCCCCCACGCCGCCCACACTCTCTCACCGTCTCACTGCTACTATTCATGGGCGTGGTAATTATGGTTCTCCCGTCTTGTTCATCCTTCTTCGTTGCAAAACTTGCGGTAGTCTCGCTCTGGTCGTGTTCACACACAACCGACTCCGATCGCAGTTCGCTCAGGCCCCTTCACTGGTCGGCCCATTTCGGACAAATGAAAGCCGTCGAGATGCTCCTCGGCGCTGGCGTTGAAGCCAACCTGAAGACGTAGGTGGACGACGAAGCAACTGCGCTGCAAATCTCCGTCAAGAGGGAAATGTACTACCAGGCGTGCTTGCTTCTCCTGCAGCACCCGGTACGATTGGGGCCGACTTGGTCGAGGGCGAGGGCAGGGCCGCGCTTCACATCTTGTGCACATTTACTGCCGTGAGTGCAAGCTTCGTTGGTTCCGAAGAAGTTCTGAAGCGCATGCTCTAAGCAGGCGCCAACCAATCGCTCCGAGCCGGGGACAGCAGAACCCCTGCCGAAATGGTCGAGCAGGCCCGTGGTAACGGCGATGAAGCCTGGGAGTCCGAGCGCGTGCTCACGCTCCTGAAACAGGCTCGGGCCGATGGGGCGTGGTGTCACCGGAGCTTCCTTGTTCTTGGTTGGGGGAGGAGGTTGGCACGCGAGGTGGAAGAGGTCCCTCGGGGTACGTGCAAGGTCTCGAGGAACGGAGTGTGACCGAGGTTACCCTTGGTGCTTGCGGCGGCAACAAGGAGAGTGTACTAGAGAGGCTGATAGCGAGGTTGATTGCGCTCGAAGCGGATGGACTCTTCCGTGCAATTCTATCATGGCCATAAGCGTTCGCATCTAAACGTGCATATATATCATTTTCATCTTGGTTTAATCTCCTACAGACGCAGTTCCTTCAATCTGGAGAATACCCTAGCCTCTCCAATTACGCCTCCCTCATGGGATTCAGGATACTGTCTCTTGAAGGGTTTTCCGTGTCCAGCCGCGCTGAAACAGGCGTGTTTTCATCGGTCAGCCTGTTCAGCGCGGTCGATGCTACGCTGTATGTTGCAAACACAACACGAATACGCCTTCCTTTAATTGTGTTGGACCACGACAGACGTTGTCTGAGCGGCCACCGGGACCTGGCGTGCTACCCTGTACAATCTGCATCAGTGCAAGAAGGATCGAGGTCGACTCCGCTGAGCTCATCAGTCTCGACGCCCACCCAGCTCCGGCGTCAACCGCGGTTTTTCGGGACCAGTGCTACCGAGGCGGGTGGAGAATATGAGGAGCAACGGAAGCGAGAGGCCCCCGGTATTCGGCAGGGTGAACAGTCGTCCAAGTTCGTCAATTGGTGACGGATATGCATGGACTTACGCGAAGTACAGCCGCCACCCACCTACTACATGGACTGTTCGCATGCACTTCGATTCTTGTGGATGCGCCCCGTGTCGGCCAGCCAATTCACACAGCATTTCGTACGAAAATGCCGACCATCGCACGAAAACTCTGGGACGTGTTGCTTCTACAAGTCCAACACGTTTTTACCACTTGTTTCGACCCTCCCGTTCCCCGCCACCGTCCGGTGCACGCGCGCACGACGGACCCCACTCTAGACTAGACCACATGAACAGAAACAAGTGTAGCGACAAACCAGCAACACAAAAGAACGGCAGCAGCATGGACATACACGTGATATGTTGTATCGCCGCCAACCGCGTAGTAAGTACACCAGCCAGGTCAGCTAGCCAAAAAAATCCAAAAGACCAACAGCGCAATACATAGCGGCAAGCCACACGGACGCTCGCGCCAACAGTAACGAGAGGCGCCAGTCCCAACACAATAGAAAAGAAAAACACACTAATTGTCTGCCTCTGATAGCGGGAGTTCCGTGAGCACCACCCCTTACGGGTCGCTAAATAGTCGAACAGACCGCTCTTTATTATCATAGGAAGACTCAATTGGTCTGAATAACCACAGGCCGGTACGAAACGAAACAGGCAGCAAGATTTACAACTGCAACTACTCATAACAACGGCTACGACATCAGCCTGCAGGCGCACACGACATCAACATGATACATGATCAAACGCTACGAAGGGTTCACATGAAGGCATAATTTCAAGATCCCCCGGCAAGTCAAAGAGCCAGCCTTCAGCGTCGTGAAGCTAAGTCGCCATCACATACTTACACGTAACACGGAGATCCCGTGGGAAAGTAAGAGGGCCCTGATGAACGCACATGATCCCCCCCCCCGCTCCACTCAACATGGTGCTGCACGTGTGCACCCCACTCGAAGCAATAGGATGGGGAAGGCTGGGCACGGATAACCCACCAACCGTAGGCAAACCGTTCCATATAGGCCACCATCCGATGCAGCTTAAACGGCAAGCCGCGTGTCCAGTTGTGTCGCCCTTCTTTCCGGCATGTTCACTCCTTGGCTTCCTTGAATTTTCTACCGGCACATGGAAGACATACCAAACTCTTGTCCCGCCTACACACGTCACCAGACGAAATACCTTGAGGCCACAACACTCCGGTTTGTGTATTGCAGGAAAGGTGCCTCTTGTATCTTCCGCTAAATGTGCCTTCCGTCGGGCACAGGCGCGCGACAATCAGGTAATGAATCGACGTTCTCGAGTCTCGTCGATCGATCGATACCGTCTCGAGTCTCACGTATCGTTCATAGTCAGAACCTGTATTCCACGTGGTGCTGACGGTGTTGACGTTGCTGTTACTGATGCTGCGGTGGGACTAGCGCTGGCCAAGAAGTCTCCCCTCCACCGATGTTTTCACCTTCCTTGGAAGCAGCACAGCAGCAGCAGCAGCAGCAGTGGCTGGCGCACCGCGCCCCCACATCGCGTCACTCACCTCAATGGCGACTCCTGTGTCCTCCACGTCCATATCATCCTCTTCAGCCTGCCCGCCCCCGCCGGGGGTAACGCCCGCTTCTTCCTCTTGCATCCCGTCCGACGTCAGATCAAACAACCCGTTTGCGTTTTCCTCTTCCCCCGCATCGGATGCCGTCAGGTCGAACCCGTTTGCGGTCTCCTGCCCCCAGACGCCCCCGCCCTCAGCATCGGACGACGCCATACCTACACCCCTGCCTTCGCTGCCCCCTCCCGGCGGCAAAAGTCCGTCATTATCTCCCCACCCTCCTTGCTCACCCTTTTCCTCCTCTTCCCCTTCTCCGCTTCCCCAGTCCGCGTCGTCGTCGACACCAACCTCCTCGTCCTCGGCATCCTCGCTGCCGTCACCGTCTGCCTGCTCGTCCTGTGGAGGTTCCCACCACTCGCCCGCGTCGCCCGGGACGCTTCCCCCGTCCTCCAGAAACGCCTCTTTCTCCGTAGGAGATCTCTCGCCCCGCAGAATGGCCAACGTGAGCACCTTGCGGCAGTGCCTGATGTCGCTCTGGTTTTCCAGATTTTCATGGAAAAATCAAGGTTGCACGGGGGGTGGGAGGGGGGGTGTACTCAAAGGCGTGCATGCCGTAGTCGTTAGACCATTGACCTCGCATCCCTACAAAGCCGGGATGGAGCAGCCGGGTTCTCACCGGACCAGGTTCTCACATCACCAAGCGCGAAGCGCCGTTAGGTATTCGGCGACTCGCACTAAGGGTGCGCTGCATCTTGCAAAGTGGGTTCGGCATCTTGTGCTTAACTTCCTTGCGTACGGATGACAGCTGCGAATGACATGATTTATTCTTTGGTGCTTGCACTTGAATAGACAGTAATAAGCATTGTGTAACTGCCTCGAGGGTGCTTGACCACTTTCACACATCGTGGTGCAATCATCCTCTTCACGCGGAGTGAGGGTTCTCGACCTCACATAACACAATCTACTCGACCACCATTATGGTTACCGCAAAAAGAAACCAAGTGCAACAAGAGAGCGGTAACCTGGTTGCCGGGCTCACGAAGTGATCGGTTTGTTTTACAACGTCGTTGCCAAGGGACGAAATTCCAACCCCGATGGCGATGGCTAACACCGGGGGGAAGGTTGCACGGGGGGGCGGGCTACTCGCCACAAGAGAGAGGACTGCCATACTACAAAGCCAGGACAATGCCTGCGAGGCGCGTCGCCGCTGTGCTCATGGCCTATTTACTAGTAGTTGGAAGACGTGTGCACTGGTCAAAATGCGGTCATGTGTGGGGGGGTATAGGACGGTTACCGCTACCATCCAGAGCCTTGGTGCGTTCCGGACATGCGTCAGGTTTGTCTGCACTGCCAACACCGTCTATGATAGTGGCAGGCGTAGTATGCTACATGATGGTACGAAAGCAACAACATAAACAAAGAAGGGGGGGTGCTGTGCTGGGGAAATACCTGCGAGAAGGAGAGGGGTCTCCCCTTGCTCAGGCGGTCCGCGAACATGGACGCGAAAACACCTGCACAAGCACGGGGGTACGACGGACAGGGAATACGGATCAAAGACAGTAGACAACAAAAAACTTGCGGGGATACAGCATGGGGCGGTTGAGCGGTCCGGCATTTGGTGATAAAATCTTCCAAACACACTGCTGTTGGGTAGCAAGCCTTCCCACCGGTGTGTGCGGTGAAGAGAGACCGGAAGGAAGTGGGGGTGGGCTAATGGGATCAATATAGAGCCTGGTCCGGTGAGAACCCGGCGTGCTCCGTCCCGGCTCTGTAGGGATGTGAGTTCAATGGTCTAACTACTACGGCATGCACGACTATGAGTATATATGAGTACTGAGAGGGAGGAGCCGTGATGTTGGTTCATTTCCGAAGCAACTACTTGTCAAAACACAGCAGTCCTTTGCACAAAACCTCAAGCAATTCTACCGAACGAAATCCGCACGACTAAATATCCGTCTCTGCCCACAACCGGTCACAGGGAACACTTGGAGTGAGATAGGGCCAACAAACACCACGCCCGGCCCTTCGCCATCTTACCGCAGTCGATCCCGTTTCTCTGGTGGGGCACGTTCTGGTAGTTGAACCTGGGCCAGTGGGAGATGTCCATCTCCTGCCCGCCTCTCTTGTTTCTAGACTCGTCGTCTACGAATCTAGCCATGTACTGAATCAAGGCGGGAATGGACAATCGACGTAAGGGGTACGTGTGGCGTTGATCCCTCGAAATCACGCTGAATAACAATGCAAAACCATTAAGGCGAGATTGCTCCAGTCCTCGTCGCGTACGAGCCGAGTCACACGCATATCCCAATGGACATGCTGAATTGGGGCAGCGGGAGTAGGCGATACTGTGATACTCGTCGTCTACAAAGCTAGTCATGTACTGTGAGTGTGGCGCGTACTGATGACGCGAAACCACATTTGAGGAAAGGAGGTTGCCGTGAGAATCGTCTTTGAGGAAAGGAGTCATGTCATGTTGCTCGTGTTCCGTTGTTCGTTGCTTTTCCGGAAAAAACTGTCATATCCTTCCCCAGTATGCCCTTCTTCGCATTATTCAGATGGGGACAAGCATTTTATTTTCACGTAAGGAAAATGAAGACAACGGGAAACAGGGAAACGCAACGATCACAAGCACTGCCTACGCGAGGAAAGCTATGGTCATTCTTCGTCCCGTGTTTGTTGAAGACCCGAAAGGCCTGATGTTTCGTTAGGTGTAGATGAACATCCAATCATATTTCCCCACGCAGCATCTCTTGTCTTGACTCCAATATTGGTCCAGAACGTCTTGCGGATCATCTAACCCCCTCCTTCACGACCATTGATTTTGATTCCCGTGTCAATACATTGCCCTTCAGGGCGTGGACGCCTCAGAGAAGTAGATGGTCCACGCGGATCAATTGTGAAGGTATCACTTGTACCCCGAACATCAATTTGTCACTGATGTGTCCGTCCTTCTTCTCAACCCAAAAACAAACTGGAACTTTGCATCGCTAGCATCAGCACAACGGTCAAGTGAGTCAAACTTTTGAGAGAACGGGCGCGGAACTCTGCTGCTGCTGCAATTACCTCGAAGCCAGCATCACCGAAAGGCGCTCCGAGGGAGTCGTAGTACTCCAGCCTCTCCAGTCGAAAGTTAATCACCGCCAGAGTCCAGTGGTTCTGTGTTGGAACAAAAAGTTGTTCATGGGTGATGGGAACTGACGATCAGGGTCAGGTGGGAAGAACACAATATGAAGGCTCCAAACCAACAACAAATACCACTCATGAGTCGGTGCGAAATACTTGGTAACGATAAATGACAATCAGGGTCATGCGGGCTGTGAAGTACACGAGACCTTGGATTCCAAACCAGCAACAAGTTCCACTGTGCCGTAGAAAATATTTGTTGCTGGGTGACGAAAATTGACGATCAGGGTCACGGCGGTGTCAACTACTTGGTACACAGATCTCACAGATTCCAAACCAACAACAAATTCCACTCATGAAAACGTCAACATTTGCTGAAAGGCGACGAAAATTGACAATCAGCGTCAGGTGGGCGGCGAAATACCATGGGCACAATTGAAACCGACAACTGACACGACGCTCTCGTCACTACGGGGCGAGTTTTCATGTTTCCGCGCATGTCAACGGGGTTGGTCGAGACGACGACCTTGTTCTCAAATCGAACAGATCAATGAACCTGCTCCAACAGGGGACAGCTGCTTCTGTTGTGTCACAACACATGGACACGCCAAGTCTCAAGCAGATCGTGAGGTTCAGCACATGGCAAATCTGAGCAACGTTGATCGCAAAAGGCCAAGCTCGTCGAGGAGGACCATAACAGAGGGTACTGAACCCGGGGATTTCCACGTGCGCACACTCGGCATTTTCATTCCAGATGTGCATGGTGGTACCCACTGTTAAGGGGAGAATCTTCAGCATCTCGCACCTGGTTGACGTTGATCGGGAAGATGAACTTGTCGAGGTCGAAAAGATCGATCTGGTCCATTCCATGGCAATCATTAGCACCACGGGTTAACGGGTTGTTCCAGGAACATTCCATTTTTTTCAGACGCGGGAGCAGAAACAAGAGGCAAACAAAGGCGGAGAAAGCGTGAGGAAGAGGTGCTCGACAAATCATCAACGATTAGCACACCAGGTACAGCGACTAGCTCGCAACAACAACCAAGAGAACGAGAAGCTTGACCTTGGCCTTCTTGAGGAACCTCTTGACGCCTTGGTATCGGTAGCCGCGGCCGTTGTCGGACAGCTGGGTGTAGAAGAAGCTGCTCATGATCCCGCACCTGAGATCGATACGCCGATAAGACGGCGTGCACACACACGGACGAGGTCGGAAAGGCCGGGGGACGGGGACGACACACTCCAACGGTACCATTGGAGAAACATACTTTTGCGATCATGCACCCATACCTTCCGGAAACATGCAAGGTCTTGTGCAGCTAAACACCACAGCAGAGCAGACAGATAAACACTGGACACACCCACCCCAGCAAGAACTTTCGGCTCGCCAACAAGGCCCGATCTCCTGCCCCGAATGGTAGGGAACTCGAGAAGCGGGGTCAAGGTCAGAAACATCTTTTGTTGGTTGGAAGATGTCATCATCAACAAGAGCAACATGGGCAAAAGACACACACACCAGCAACCGCCAAAACAACAACCCTTGTCATTTTGGGAACCTGCTGTTTACCCAAACACATCCATCGGTCATCTCCAACCACAACACCACCCGTTATTTCCAGAACATACAACTTCGGTCCCTGCACAAGACCGCTTGGATAAGGCCGGCCGCCCCAAAATACGGCTGGTGAAATGGCGGCACATCGATGCAATACGCGAGGAGTCTCACAACATGAACGATGCCGGGTGTCCGGTACGAGGCCAGCCAAACCCCTTGGCACTCGTGGCCTTAAACAGAGACCACTACCGTACTGCCGTATCTCTTCAAAACACGATTTGGTCTGTCAAGACGTAGCGTTCGTTCACTTCGGGAACCGGTGTCCGCTTGCCGACCCTCTAGAAGAGTTTCCCCGCCAAGTCTTGACGGTAAACACGGTTGATATACTCAATTGCTTCTTCGTGAATATTGCCAACATCACAACGACACCAAGGGCATTCCAACAACCCGCGAAACCCTTTTGTGAAGTAAACAAGTGCACCCGAAAAAACCGCGAGACGCCCGGTGACGCCCGCGGCGGTGTACCACGACTCACTTTGGAACCTGCTTCCCGCTCGCCACCGCTTCCCTGTTACGCGCCTGCAGGCTCTTCATGTACAAGTTGATCACCTAACACGACGCGGGTAGGTTACAACGGCCGTTTAGTCGTCAACAAAATATGTGGTACGGGACGCGAAAGCCCCATTCATGAGCAGGCTGCCAAATCCGGAACAACCGAATCAACCAGTGTGGCAACGCCGGGCAAAAAAAAAACAACAACGAATCGAGTACAAAAGAATAGAGTCAGTGGTTGGTGGCAATCTGACACACACGTAGGTGGGATGCAACGTTGCAGCGCACGTCTAACGAGCCGCAGTAGCCAACCGGAAAGATCGACGAGCAAACTGACGGCGCTTGATAGCCGCAGGCGTAGTCGTGTGCATACGCTTTGGCAACCTCGCCGTCCAGCGAAAAACAGCGTTTCTGGGCACGGGCGGTGATTGCACGGTGGGTGAGGCGACGTTGGAGAGGACATGGCACTTCTGCGCCACTCTCCTCCCCGCGTGGTCGTAGCTCTCGCGGAAAGTGGCATGCTGTTCAAGGGAGGCAAGGAAGAAGGCGTGGATGAAAAATGCGAGGCAAACAGCCACCTCGACCATACAATTCAAACTCCGTGCTCATGGCATAACAACCATCACAGTCATTCCCCTCCTCATGGACAATCAAGACTTCCCTCACCTCATCCCCAAGCCACTCGCCGCTCCGGAGGGTACGCAAGGACGCCTTGGACACCATGTCATTGAACGCCCGAACCACGATGTCGCCGTCGGCAGCACCGCCCTGCGACGACCAGGCATCCCGCACCTGTACAGCCACACCCACACCCACGCGATGCATCGTTCCGACCGAGGACGAGAAAGACTCGTGTGCGTTGGAGACCAGGTGCCGACAAGGTGTCTTGATCGCTAGGATCGAGTGGATCGAGTGGTCCATGCCGCACGAGAGACTAAATATTGCAACGCGGCAAGCATAGGGCAGACGCTAGAAGCCGAGATGATAAGTCACCGTCACGACTTGACCCGGGAGGGGTTTGAAACCCGAGGTACGCCCATTCTCTCGAGCGGAAAATGCAACGGGACCAGAGGGACCACGAAGGGTAAGTTGCATTTTTCCGTACAAAAATATGAAAACAGCAGTACATGCCACATTCAACGCAAAGAAGCATGACCACTGTGGCGACGCCTCCCGGGCCCCTCCCTCACCTGATCCTCTTGCTCCGGCGACAGCTCCGGCCGTTCTGGCGCAACACCAGCACACACGTGGGACACAAAAGGGAGAAAGCACCGACAGTTGTGGTTGTCTTCACATCAAAAAATGATCCGATCTCGCTATCCAGCCTCCCTCTGAACTGATCTAACAATTGACGCGGTCGATTTCAGGTGGTCACCAGCTAACTTACCCTAAAAAAGGCAGTAATCAAATACTTGAATAACGGGCCGGAAGAGTCCGCAAGCCAAAATAAATCAACGACAGACAGCCTAGACGGTAGTCACGGGTAAAAGCTGTCCGGCTGTTCGCGTGTGCAAACATCATTTCCATGCTTCTTTTTCCTCGCAAGCGGCAACATCAATACTGCTGCTGTGCCGTTGCTTATCGCACTATGTAGGTGACACTAGCTCAACTTTTTTCCGTTTTCTATTCCGCTGCCCCTGTTGGCCAACCTTCCTCTCCAAAACATACGACGACACACACACCGGCTAAAAGCCTCACGTCTTCTCTTTGGTTAGTCGGGTAGCGCGGTCGATGCAAACTCATGCAACACGAACATACCTTGCACCGCCGCTGCCACCGCCGCCGCTAACCTAGCCTCCTTATGCTCCCGCTCCTCCAGCTGTGCCCTAACCCTAGCCGCCTCTTCCTCCTCCGCTCTTTCCTTGGCTCTAGCCGCCTCTTCCTCCGCCCTCGCCAGGGCTTCCGCGGCTGCCTTCTTCTTAGCCGTCGCCGCTGCCTTTCTGGCCTTGGCTTGCTCGGCCAATCTCGCCGCGAGCGCTTCGCTGCGTTGCCGCGCCTTTTCCGCGGCCTCTCGCTTTGCCCCTGGTGGACCGGGTCGCGAGGATTGGTCGGGCTGATCGCCGTCAAACGTTTCACCATGATGAGTTCTTTGTGAGTGTTACGTTGCCCATGGGCTTTTGTTTCTCCCGACCGTGTCGTGTTGGCATCCATCCGCACGGCTGTATCGACCCACCATGAGCATGTTCGCCAAGTGCCTCGCGTCTTTCTCCCGTGTGGAGCGCGCAACAGGCAGTGTGCCCATTTGGCGTACGGTAACTCGCGACGAACGCGGAAGCCACACGGCGCAGGGCACGGAAAGCCAAAGGCTGAAGTTCTCCTACATGAGACCACCGTAGCCAGAGGGCGCAGAGCCAAACCAAAAAAAATCTCTCGTATGTACTTCACCACAAGAACCAAAGCTGCACGAAACAGCGAGACCAGAACCAACACTCCCAGGGTCCAAGTACAAGAACCGACCAAAACCACCGCCAGAACAGAGCCTAACCTTCTTCGGCTTCTCTCCCCCAGTTCTCGATAGACCGCGCGTCGGCCAGCAGCCGCTCCGCCGCCGAGGGGTTTCTATGGTGGATGTCGCGGGCTTTTTTCTCCAGGGACTGTCTAGCCTTGGAGCGCAAGCTGTTCAGGCTCCTCACCGCGAAACCCTGCTTTGTTGGCGGTTGTGTTGTGTGTTGCTGCTGCTGCTGTTGTTGTTGCTGTTGACGTTTCTCGTAATATAGCAACCCCTGCTCTTGATGTCTTACAACAGCTTAACACTTATCGTGATATCGGGCTCAGAGACGAACGCCTCAATGTTATAATCTTGACCCGGTTCGCACGAAGTAGATACACTTAGGAATCCTACGGGAAACGCAGAAATGCTGGGTGGTGGACTGAAGGGGGCGTGAAGAAAATCATGTACAGGCCGTTTTTCTTACCATCTTGCTTGAGGCCTTACCGGACCACGCCGTCGCTTGTTCAGCTTGACGAAAGTCCAGGAATAGGATGACAAGAGAAACACGATTTACAAAAAAAAAGCAGCTGAAGAAGCTCCAATCATCCACACTATGTTTCGTTTGGTGTCAAATTTGCGGGGTGTTTTATTATACCTGGGAAGAAATTGGAATCAAAAGTAACCCCCACCCTTGCCCTGAACAAGCTAACGGTCCAACTCTTCACAAATTCCGATACAGGCAACGTCCCGCCCCCGCTGCTCTCACCTGGCGGGCCGGCGATTCCGAATCGTGACCAGTCCAAGCAACAACAGCAGAACCACCGCCCACATTGCTGACGGCCCGACTTTTCGCTTCGCGCCGCATCTCAGCAAGCACGGCGGCTACCTTCTTTTGCCGCGCCGCCTTGCTCTTGAACACGAACCCGGTGTACCCCCGCCCGCCGCCGCCGCCGCCCACACCACCGGTGTCTCCGCCGCCTAGACTAGGATAGGTACCGCCGCCATATACGCCGTCATTGCCCGGGCTCTTCATCGCCCTGCTGCTACTGCTGCGGTTGGTGAACGCGCTAGATGTGCTGCCACCGAGGTTGACGTTGCTCACGCGGCTCCCGCCGCCGACGCCGCTAGCACTCCCCCCGCTGCTGAAGCTTTGTCGCCAGCATCCGAGGCTGCCGTGCGGCTTCCTGCCGGTGTTGCCGCCGCCGCCGCCGTTGGCGGTGGTCCGAGTGCGGGCAGAGTGCGCGTTGGCCATGATGAGGCGGCGGGGGGTCGACTGCGGCAGCACGGGCTGGCGTTAGAAGACACGATACGATACACAAAGGGACTCATGTTACGAGCAAGAGCGGCGAGTAAGGAGAGCGACACGCGGTAGGAGACACGACACGAGAGGCCTCAGTCACAAGCAAGAGCGGTCAGACCAAACGGCACCTCAACATGAAAAATGGGCGTTTGCCATGAAGCCGCGGCCTAGTGTTGCACCGCGGCAAAGACCATCGGGCATCAAGACGGGGCAAGAAGGCACTCGGAGACGCTGCACTAAAGCTCTTCCATTAGGCAATCTAGAGTCGAATAACATGTAACACATACACATGCTACCCACTAATTAAAGTGCTGATTGTAAACTCAAAAAGAGCAATCGGCCGCGCGCGCGTGTGTGTGACTTGGTCCCATTGATCTTGGCCCCCAGCCTGCCCCTTCCGGTAAATCTTGACGCACAAGCTAGTACCAACATTGTTGAGCGGGTGTCAGAAAGAAACATGACCTTGATGTGGGCATGCGTCGTGGGAACTCAAAAATACAGAGTGGGTGAGAGAACCACGCCACCCTCCTCTCGACAGCTTGCAGGACAACAGCAAACACAAGCGACAACAACAACAACAACAACAACAACAACAACAACAACAACACACACCACAAGCCATACGACCGAAAGACTAGCTCCTGACCCACCATGCCGTACGTGTACCCCGGGGGCATGCCAACGTGAACGTCAACACCGCCCCCGCCCCCACCATCCCTCCGCGTCCCAACGCCTCTGCTAGCAGCCGCTTCCGCGCCACTCCACCGGCCCAGCGGCGTGCGTGGCGTCGCCGACAGCCCTCCCGCGACCGCGCGCAGAGCCCCGACCCCGCCGCCGCCGCCGCCGCCGCCGCCGTCTGGCCATGGGCGCGGAGATCGCCCGGTTGCGGAAGCTAGGGAAGGCACACCTAGCCCTGTCGTGGGTCTTGATGCTGCCGGCGGGGTGCGGCGTGCCGCGGTAGGTTGGGGTGGCGACCGTGCGGTCGACTGGTCCTGTTGACAACCGGAGGGAAAGGATGAAGGTGAAATGAAACCGAATTTAGCGGGGTGTGTAGCTGTCCAGTTGGGTGGTGTGCAACGTGAGGTCTTCTGACTTCGATATCGAATGAGTCAAGTGGCAGCAAAAGGTGGTTGGGGTGCGAAGCGAAGAGTCAAAACCCGAGGGAGAAGAGAAGAGGGATAGACCGGCAGACAGATAGACAGACAGACAGACAGGCAGACAGACAGGCAGACAAACAGACAGACAAGACAGACAGACAGACAGACAGACAGACAGACAGACAGATAGACAGACAGACAGACAGACAGACAGAGAGAAAAATAGAGACGCAGAGAGAAAACAAAAGAAAACCTGACAACGACCAGTGAACAGTTAACACGCACCACGGTGACGACTCACCCACGAGTGCCCCTCCCTGCTCCTCGCCCCGGTCGTCGTGCTGCTAGCGAGACTCAGACTTCTGCTGAGGCCGCCCACCTCGTACCTTGCGGCCTTGGGAGGCCTGCTGGCTGCTGCTGCAGCCCCGGCGCCCTCCTTTCGTGATAAGACACAAAACAAGGGAAACATGGAGGATGTATACGATCAATGGACAAGGTTGCAGATTCCTTTCAAGCTGAAATGGCGTGCATGTGCAGGACGAAGCGCCAAATCGGTCGTGTCAGGGAGACTGACGCATTTCGCTTTGACTCACTTGTTCTGCACCAGGCAATGAGTATTGGCCTTTTGGTGCGGTCATCACTTGGTAGATGCCCTTCAAGTAGTACAAGGCCGTGTGCTCCCATGCGCCCAAAAATAATTCATGTTCGATGTAGAAATGTAGTCTATTTTGGCATATTGCTACTGCAGTTGCTGTATATATTGCCACTGGCTTATGCGTGGCGAAAATGCCACGTGTAGCACGCCGCACGTGCAGGATTCAAGTGCGCCAAATCAAAGGTCGACACAGCAGTCACGCAAAGCAAAATTTCTTCCTCAGAATGAAGGAGCTGAAGAAACCGCAGGGGCAAGCAATGAACCCTTGTCCATCCATTATCTCTCTCGGCTCCGGCAGAGACGGAACAGCCAAGGTGGATTAACAAGGCGGGGCTACACCTGATGCGTAAGAGATGCTGCAACGGGCGTCTCGTTGTTATCTAGTACTCCTTACTTCGTAGAGGAGCAACTGAACACGTGCATCACGACGTTGCTCGGAAATTCCCGATCATGTGTAGGAGCTAAATCAGCAGAGGGAATCGCGAAGCAGGGAGAGCGCCTTGGCAGGCCTCACATCTCTGCAGTAAAACTATTGAAGGCTGCCGCTGGAACCAAAACCTCTGCAACTCGCCACCACGAGAGCCCCAGTCCCCCGAACTGGCGGTCCGTCAAGGCAGCTACCGCAGTGAGCTACTGCTGTTGTACACGATCGTTGGGACCCAGATTCGTGCTGGATTTTTCGTACCGCAGTCGTAGTTTCGACTTCGACACGACGGCCCCAGCAACAGATCTGGGCGTGCGTGCAACCGCGCATGTCGCTGCTCTCCATGATATCCTCTATTGGTGTACTGTAGATGTACCACTTTTTCGTATGATGTTGAAGACCGGGACGCTTGGAAGTCAAAGGACCTACGCTGTACCTGTAGGCAGTCGCCATGCGGCTTGTTTTGTCTTGATACTGGACTTGGGTGATATTTTTGTCTTGATTTTAGGTGTGAGGAGGTATGTAGACTGCACGATATGCTGGCTGGCGAAGACAATTCCCAATCGCTGCTCGGTGCGGCAAACAACGGATGAAATATGTTCTTGCGCATCGCTTCCCAACTGCCCGCGTATCCGCGATCATGTATACCAGTATACTTGTATCATGTGATGGGCTCTGTCGGTCGTTTTCGGTCAAGTCAGATAGACTTTAAGCTTTCAGCACCCCCTTGAATGTACAAACGCTGAGGTGTGGTTATAGGGTTGACCGGGTGTGGTTGAGACTGGACAGGGCCTCGAGCATTCACGTGGCATAAAAGGGTTAGGTGATTCTTGTCTGTTGTGCCTTGCGTTGCTCGCTGTTTTTTGTACTCTGTTGTTTGCCCCTCTGGCCCCTATCCTCCACTTCTGTTACTAGCTTGACGAGTCACATAGGAGCGGGGGGGGCTGGACCCCCTCCTGCGGTTCCTGCCTGAGGTATTTTCACCGCGAGAAGGGTACAGCAATCCCTTCCCTCGCGACTCACTTTCGAAGTCGATTATGGGCTCGCTGTTGGGTGTGATGGTTCGATCCTTGTTTTGGCGTTTGGATCCATTCCGATTTCAACATCACGAGTGTAAAGAGTTGGTTGTGTGCAAATCACATGTACTTTCGGGGTACATAACCACGCCGCCAAGCCTCATCAACTTCACGCGAAAAGGAGAAAGCCACCGCGAGATCCTACCGCTCTCTCACCTCCGCAACGCCCGAATAGGTGCCAGCAGCTGTCGCACGTCTCACCCCGGCGGCGGAACCACCGCCATGCCCCCCCGTTGGCTCTTCATTTCCCAACCAAGCGTTCGCGTTTGATCGTTTGTTGCGACCAGAGCAATTCGGTGCAGGTTCGGGGCTGAAATGGCTGAGAATCTTGTTCGCAAATGTCGTGAGTAGGCTAGCCATCCTCGCGGCTGGTGGCACACGCAGACACGCCAAGCCCTCCGGCGCCTGCACCAAGCAAGTCCTTTCACACCTACACTTTTGGGTGAACTGCTACTCTCTGCTAGTGCCTCGCTCAGTTTTAAAAACACAGCAGAGAAGCTTGGTGCCTTTTTCTCACACCCTTACGAGGACTAGTTCCAGGCTCACGCTCTGATACCTCCCCCGTTCAAGGAGCAGCGCTCGGCGCTGTTCCACTTCTGCGTCTGCTTCTCTTTCTGCGCTCCTCTCTGTCACACGCAACACAAACACACTGCACCGTTGTTAGGCTGTGGGAGGGCGTTGGAGGGCGGGCCGCGGGTCGCGCAAGCTGGGAATGTTGCGTTCTGTAGGTATCTATATACCTCTTCGACCACACGGTGCTCCGCGGCAGGGCTGCAGGGCTTTCATCACATGCCCAGAGACAGACGGCTTTGCCTGCAATAGACGCGCAGAGCGCGATGTCCCGTGTACAGCCAATCTCGTCACTGCGTAGGTATCTATGCTCCCGGTCCTCACCGCATCTTCCAAAAGAAAACGCTGCTGGAGGAGGAAAAACGGCCAGAGTATTTGGTCGTGGTCTTAGGCCTGGTCCTGCAGCTGCTCCTTGGTTACATTCGAGCAGCCACGGCCGACTGCAAGATGGCGGTTCAACTTGGGCGGGGCTACTAACGGTTGCGAGTAGTAGAGGTGAGTTTTTGTTTTGAATGCATTTGTAACATGTCCCTATTTTCTGGTTGAACGTGTAGTCTACCCGAGTGTTCAAACCGCCGGTTGTTGTAGGCTGCGTCCAGAGTTCGGAGTTGTGCCGCGTCCTCTTCGCTTGGGCACTACGGCAGGAAAAACTAGGCGTCCTCTCGTGTTTCTCTGCATCCCATGCCAATGAAGCCTGACCCCACGGGAATAGGTACCGCTGAAGCTGCATACCGGACCGGCTCCTCGTTTATTTTGCGTTGCCTTGCAAGAATGTGTAGCGGCGGGGCGATGTGCAAGCTCAAGCTCAACAGCAAAGGGCACTGCTGCCGGATGTTGCCTGCTTTGGACGTTTGGTGCAGACGGACGAGCCAGCAAGCCTCTTTGATTTCTGGGCTATGATTTTTATTGCTTGTTCCTTGAGCTCTGTCTTTCATCGGCGCGTTTGGTCTAGAGCGGCCACGTGATCCTCTCTGAAAGGCTCATAACCGAAGGTCCCGACCAACGCACGAGAGCTGGGAGGCTCCAAATAGAGCCAGTGCGCGTCTTGTCGCCCGTGTTCAACTGTCATTTTGGACGGATCTGCCTGTGGGACTCGCGTGCTTCTTGCGTGTGTGGGTGGTAACGGCAGGGACACACGTGGGAGATGATCTTAACTGCAGATTGTTGTGCTCCAATCGCCGTCTTACTGAATCACTCTAGGTAGCCTCGATCGAACCTTGGATGAGGATGGACATGGTACGTGTGGTGCCAAAGAAGGATGACCGTCTTTGAGGGGGAGGTGGTGACCCTCATAGACAACTATCATTCGTGCCGACGAACGAAGAGTGCTGCTGAGCACCACCTCCATCTTCCGACCTCCCCACCAAGCAGCACTGCCTTCTTTGCGTAATCCTACGCTGTCATTGTTTTGCGTCTACAGCCTCTGTTCTTCGTTGGCGTCCGTGTGTGCTCAACCTTTGCTGCTCTTGTCCGGACTCGACATGTCGTGCTCAGCAACAGACAGACGAGAACCAAAACCATAAAGTTGTCGCAATTATCCAACCCGTGTCTGGGCCCCCCGTTGAGTCGCGGTCTCCTTCCTTTTTTTTTCCGGCCTCCGTGTTGTTGGAACTCCCACAGGTCGTTTCTCCACGTCCTCGACGTCGGCGGCCGAGGCACCTGACGGTAGCAGCGCGGGGGCTCCGCAGGGTGGTGTTGGAGAGGACGGAGGGCAGGCTGCGGGCACCGGAGAGGGGGCACAGGAGGAGGAAGACGACGACTTGTTCGAAGACCCGAGGACCGCGATTTTGGACGCTTCGCTGAACCACGTGGAAGAGCACGGGTGAGTGGCTTAAACAAGATGTGGTAAAGACTAATTCACTTATCGTTCTTTTTCACGCTTCACTGGAACACGTGGAGGAGCACGGGTGGGTGGCTGCAACGGTCAAAAGACTAATCATGTGTGGCAAGACGTTTCGTACGTGTTAAGACAAAGTGGACCTAATTGCTAGACGGCGTGGAAGAGCACTGGTAAGAGGCGCACAGTCTTGGCAAGACTATCCATACTGGTGTGGTGAGAACACAGTGGCAAAAGGGTCAACACCTGTTCCGATGCTGCGATAGCATACACTGCCATGATGCCGTAAATCGACAACGAAGCCAGGGGTGGCTGGACCTGCGCTGTTTGTTCGCCGTGGATTGCAGTGTCTATGGTTTGAATTTCCTGCAACGAGGAACACGTTTCAGAGTTGGTAAGTCGCCGACGACAAGGGGCCTTGCGATTTGCCCATTCGGTGGACGTTCCGGCAAAAAAAAAAGCCAACCTAGACATTGTTGGCTACCCCCGAGCAATGATGCCGGCGATGTGTACGCAGTGCCGTCCGCCTTCGCGAAAGCTGGACCCCGCTTAACTTCGTGTTGGTACGCCTCGCTCTCTCTCCGGCTCTCCCTGTCTCGTGTCTCGTGTCTCGTGTCTCGTGTCTCGTGTCTCTCTCGTCTCTCGTCTCTCTCTCTCGTCTCTCGTCTCTCTCGTCTCTCTCTCTTTCTCTCTCTCTCTCTCTCTCTCTCTCTCTCTCTCTCTCTCTCTCTCTCTCTCTCT